GAGGATGAGATGGTTGGACAGTGTCATTGAAGCAACCAACATGAATTTGACACAACTCCGGGAGGCAGTGGAAGACAGGAGGGCCTGGCGTGCTCTGGTCCATGGGGTCACAAAGAGTCGGAAACGATTGAATGACTAAACGAACGAACAATTCTATACCACCTCCATTGTATCTTGGTGTGGCACCATTTCTGAGTATGCAACTCCTCTGGGTGCTGATACGTAAATGTCATTCCAGAACACCAAACTTTCATTAAAAGGGTAGTTTCTACACTATCCAGAAACTGAACACTTTTTCCTTTAAGTACCACAAACCTGGACATTTCCCAGTGAGTTCTGCAAACACAATTCCCACATCTGCTCACCAACATTCAGAATCTTGTGCCATAGTTGCCTGATCCTTTTCAAAAGCAAAGCGAAAAGGTGATAATGCCAAACACTGGAAACACACAATTGAAATCCTACAAGTTTTGGTGGGGGATGAGCTGGCAGGGAAGCTACAGCGCAAAAGCCATGCGTGGACAAACTGCCCCCTCTTAAAATCCTTCTCAAAAAAAAATCCATCTAGATTTTGTTACGTGTTTCAGGGCCAAATAATATGTTATATGGACAGGGTATGCTTCAGAATTTAGATTGAAATTCATTGACACCACAACAGTGCATGCATATAGCAAAAAAAAAAGTACTACATTTATTACATCTTAATAACGGTTAAATGTGTTATCTGGAAATACAGCACTGGAGAAAGGAAGCTGGAGAGGCAGTCATAACCCCACTGTGGCACAGCAGGTAAAAATAGCAATTTTGTCACAGAATTAGTATGGGGAGATGCCTGGTTGCCCCCTTCTCCATTGTGTCCTCTCAACAATCTCATCTGCTTAGCTAATCTGAGAGGTACCAGCTGACCTGGACTTCAGTCCGACACTCCAATCACTGTTGCACACTCTTGAACCCTCTTCAGAGCTTCTGGATCAGTGCTCTACTGAAGAGGGAGAGAAAGGAGAAGTGTGTTCCTTCCATACACGCTTCCCCTGCTATTGCCTTTTACTTCCTTGTGTTGAAAGGCAAATTCTGCAGTGAGGAACTTTTTCCATCCACTGGTACTTTGTGGCTATCAAGGCATTACCGTGCTTGTCTCGGGCTACCCTCGGTCAGCTTACTCCTGCTTCCCT